GCACAATGCTAAATTTTTCAACAAAAAAAATAATTGACCCGCGATCAAAAAAGGTAGCCGACCACTGATATACAGCAATATAATTCAAACATATTGTATTACTACACATGTAGCATCGCTAGTCTAAGCCAATTAAATTTGAGAGTATCAGAGACATAGTTATGACAAGTTTCATTACGTAACTCCATACGAGTCATATGTTATGTATATAATTTAATTGTACTACGCTTTTGTAATATTGTTCACATCATCTTACTCAGAGCTTCTATTAAATCTTTCTCATTATGTTTAATATTGTTCTTACTAGAGGGCTAGAAATTTCTAGATGTTTTTGTTGTGTGTCATAAATATGTGCAGATACAGAATGGAAGAAGTTAGTGAAAGTAAAAAAATGAAAAAAAGTCAAGGTAGACTAAATTGTCAATTTAGCCATAAAGGGCAATATCTAAAGTGAAAGTTATATGGTTTGTATTGTATCAATTGGATTCTAAAATAACTGAACCAGCCTGTGTGGACTTTTGAAAAAAAAAAGAGAATTATTTAAAGCTATAGATTCAACTGTGATATCCTACAGTGTAAAGCTTTTTTTTTTTTTACATACATTTGAATTCTTTTGAATATATCATTTTAAAACAAATGGATTGTGTGCTGTCTATTTATTGTTGAAATTCATCACCAACAAATCACAGACACCTGCTGTATAGAATCACGGCCTTTTTAAAACCTGACACTTGTGTTGTAAAAAACTCACAGTTAACACCAGAAAAAACTATTTTAATGAAACTACTAATGTTTTGGATTACTAAATCTTGTTGGGGTATAGTGTCTAGTATAGCAAAAAATGAAATAAACAAAGATGATATTTTCAGATAGATAATTAATGGTTAATGATGTGAAATTTTAAAATTCACAAAAGCAAATTATCATTAATTTAGCTAATGACAACACACCACTAGTAATGAAGTTAGAGTGAAATTAGAAATTACTAGTATACTAATTATAAAACAGATATGTGGCAAAATAGTATTCTAGTTTCGGGGAACAACTGAATATGACAAATAATAATATTTGAAAAGAGATCGGACAGCAAAAAATGTACAGAATATAAATAAATATATATATATAAATAAAACAGTGCACTAAAACTGAAGAGGTCATTCAGCTGTAGAATACTGTTAAAACTTACTAAAAAATACAACAATTATTTATATAATAAATATATGAATTTAAATACAACCTAGCAAAAAAACATAAATCACCAAAACTGAAGGATAATAGAGCAAGAACCTTAGCTTTCTATTAAATTTTAACCTACACAGAAGCTCACCATTAATTAATCAATAAAAAAAGTTGTTGTTTTACCTCTGGACGGCTTGGCACTCCAGGATCGTCAATTGCACAAACTAATAAATGATGCACAACCGACAGCAGTTCTTCTTCACTCTTTTCATCACTGTTCAACAATCCCATCTGAAAGATGTTTAATGATGGCAACTTCTCCATGTCTATAGAATGGAGTAGATGCAAAATCTAAGATGCTAATTGGTTTGAATTAACAACAATGTAGATAACTAGTGGCCAAATTTTTTAGAGACTGAAGATAAAAATATATATTATTTCACTATAATTCTTAACATTTAAAAGTGTAACAGTGAAATTGAAAGAAATAATAAATATTTTCCATAGATAAATAAGTTGAAACAATAAGAAAAAAATACATATATAATGATTCCTTTTTTTTTAATCTTGTTTCTTCAAATGGTTACTTACAGGTAGAAATACTTTTCATCAGGAAAAAAAAGTATCAAAATGTCAGATTGATAACATTTTTCTATAAATATGAACAATAAACTCCACAACAGATTTTTACCTGGACCAAGTAATGTTACACATAATTGCTTAAATTATTCCAAAAGAAAAAATTGTTTTGTAAAAAAATGTAGTGTCTAATCTAAGTAATAGTACAAGAAAGTTACAAACTCTGAAAGAGCTTACCAAAACCTATTGTATCACCAAAGTTGTGAAGAAATTCAAAAACCATCAGGATATTAGAAAATGCCTTTCCAGATAATTTGACTCCAGGAATTCTGTTTAAAGTAGGAAGAGGCTGAAAAGTAATAATTTACTTAATGATTATACAAAAACAGAAGTCACTGAAACCAACTGATGGTTATTAAACCATTGAAAGTTATCGATCATTTTTTTTCAAAATAAAAACAACAAAAAACTATAAGATTAACATTTTTATTTTATTGAAAATTAAAAACAGTTAAAATGAGATAGAAATAAATATCCAATAAAGTGACATTTTACCACCATAAACATGGAATAATCAGGCAAAACGTCATTTTATTTTATATTTTTTCTGTAATCATTACCTATTCAGTACTCTTTCGTAATCTTTGAAAATGCTCTAACAAACACCAAACTGATGAAAAAATTATCTCCAAACTATACTTTTTATCTTCAAGTTTTCTTTCAAATAGATTGCTTTAATTTTACAAAACAGAACACATTAATCAAGACTACATTCATCAAAAATTATTTTCTCAATATATATTTTTCATCACTAAATAGTCTACTATCCTTGAAAGATTCAGAAGATAGACATAAATGATCCTATCAATACGTTATATTTTTCCTAATCTCAAGTATTAAAGGTGTTGTAATGTGGAAAAAAAACAACACACACATAAAAATAATGTTACATGACTGAGAAATGTACCACCCAAACTAATTTTAGTCACTATCTCTTGCTTCAATCAAGTCTAATTTGCTGATGATACTTTCTAAAACTAGTCTAAACTCAAACGAGATGGTAAAACCAAAGAGATCAAAACCTTTAATATATTTTTTCTAAACTTTTGAAACTTCTGACAACAACACAGAAAAATGATTTTAGTTATTTCAACTAATCAACTCACTGTAGAATCTTTCAACATCATATCATCTACCGGTTTTTTGATTTCTCGTATCAGTTGTAACTCTATTCTTCTCTGCTCCTGGTAGTGGTGGTGATATAAAATAATTAATAAACGCAAATAAATGTAGCAATGCTACGTACATATTTTTATTGTTTCAGTTTATTGTCAACAATTAGAAATGTTTTAAAAAGAGCTACAAGATTAATTTACTAACACAATATATATCAGGTTCTTAAAACATAAAAAAATATATTTCAAAAACTATCTCACATTGTAGGCCTAAGTTTTTCTCAGTTTGTCTTAATACACACAAAAGAACTGTCATTATAATTTTACAGGTATTTTATATATAATTTTATCTCTTTCATTTTTTTTTGTCTTAAAAATCTCTCCCCCCATTCACATTTCATTACAATCTTTTTGTAATTTATTTTAAATACCATAATGAGAAAAACAAAATGGTAAATTGGATTTATTTTGTATTTTTCAACTTTTTCACTTTACCTTACAATAATGATAAAATACAAAGTTTACTGAAAAAAATACTTCTGATATTAATCTAAGAGGTTCTCGAGGTTATGCAAATGAAATATGAAAACTGTAAGATGAAAAAAAAGTACTTTTGTTCTTAAAATAAAAATCAACTTGTACCCAGACTTGTAATGTTTCCCAAATTTTATGAAGATACACTTAATACATTCAGAAATGTATAATTTCATGGTTACAAAGTTCGTCAAAATGACTGAGCCTCTACTTAAAGTTAAATGGATGGGTGCAAGGTTATTACAAAAATGTTACTCCTTTGTGTCATTATGGAAAATATCTTAAGATGCTTTTTGTTTTGACCAGTTTCGTGTATTTTGCAAAGATAATTACACCAGTTGCTGAAGAATGATGGATAGTGAAAAGAAAAAAAAAAATTTTAATTATTCACACACTTCAGTAGGCTAGCACTCGCAGCCATAAATAAGTAATAACTATAGTATAGTAATTCCATTATAATCTACTCTTGAGAGATATTAATAGTTAAAGTTATCTTTAGAGTACAAAGTGTGAGACAATCATATGAATAACAAAAAAATAATTAATAACAGCACTGAAAAACTACCAGTACATTTAAAAAAGAAAATCCGTTACCATCATGTTGGGTTAATCACATGCATTAGCAATAAAAGGTCATTAACAACATCAGTGTAAGCTACTAGAACACTCAAATAAAAAAAATCTGTTACCATTTTTTTTTCTTTATACATTCTTTTCTCTTGAAGTAGTTCTTCCCGCTTTCTTTCTCGTTCCTGAAAACATGAACCCATATATGAACAGGATAGGTCTAGTTTGAAAATATAAACAAAATATTAATATGATTTGTCATACAGCCATTGAAGAAAAATTTATTATTAAATGACATTACATCTTCCCAACAAACAATAAAAGATTTTACAATAAGTTCTTAATTTGGAAATATAATAAAATCTCCATAATAGCAAAATGATTGTTAATTTTTTAATTTTTTCATTTGATTAACTCTTGTTATCATTATTATCCAAGTATATTGTTCTTATTTGTATATACTATGATGTTGCATGATTCACATTGTTGCTCATTTTCACTGACAGAAGATACAAAGAAGTCGTGTTTGATACCTCATGCTTCTTGCGAATGTCTAATGCCCGTACAAGTAACATATGTTGTCTCCTACGTTCCCGTTCCTGTAAAATACAATGTAACACTTACTGTCAACACAATTATTTGTAATAGATGATATCTTTTAATTAAATATTAATAAGAATACGTATATGCACATGTACTTCTAAGAGATGACCTTCAAAGATGAAATGGGAATGTACTAAATATAAACAATTAAACCCAACTACCCACAAATTATTAATATATAGAAACAGATTTTTAAAGTAGTTAAACTTAGTGAAATATGTTGGAATATTTTTCTTTGAAAAATATCAACAAACAAAATTTATATAGATCAAAAGTTACAAAAAAGATGCACATAGATCGGAAAAAATTGCCAGCACTACACGACATGATTATAGGCTGAGATGGAACGTGGAACATGAAGACAAAATGAAGAACAATTAAATGTATCTAAATACATTCTAAACAAAAGGAACATGAACACAACTGCCCCACAATGTTTAACTTGAGTATGCATTACTGATTTTTTTTTCTTTTTAATAAAGGTGTTCATATTTTATGATGCTGGAGACTACCTGGTCCACGAGAAACAGCTTTTTTTTAATACTTACTTACTTCCTGCAACCCTAACAATGAGATCCACAGAAAATAAAAGTAATAACTATTCTCATGAGTTATGATTAGCACACTTTACTTAAAAAGTTTTACATATAACAACTTTCTAACTTTTTTCGACTCAATCAAGCTGACATAAGCCAAATCTAAAATACCCAAATTGCTTTCAGCAATTACATTGACTTGCTGTCTAAAATTGCTAAAAATGGTCAGATATGAATTTCTTTATTACAAGACAATAAAAGCAGATAATCTAAACTTATTTTTATGAATAAGGTAACATATTTTCTAAATGAAAATACATTAAGTCTGAAAACAATGATAGGATAGCTAATTTATGCTTTGGCATGTATTTAAATATGTAAATACACATAAAATAACATGCATAAAATGACAAGAGAAATAAATATTTTACTCACCAAATCAACCATCAAGATAATTTCTCTTTGTTTTTGCAATTCCTGGAGAGCAGAGCAAGGAAAATAAGTTATCATGGCAACTTGTTCAATGATTTTAAAATTAAAAATTAGATCAAGGTTTCAAATGCACAATAACAATTTTTATTTGTCCAAAAGTCCAAATTTAAAGACCACATGTTTCAGTAGCTTTACTGTAACAGGTAGTCTTAATTTTGGCTGTTGGCCAAATAAACATTTTTACTGTGCATTTTAAATGTTGATCCTATTTTTAATTTTTAAAAATATACATTTTTTTAAACATTACAGTTAATCAATAAATTCAACAATATGTTTGTAAAAAAGAAAATTCCTTCTTAAATTATTATATGAAAACAACAGGAATAACAGTTTTAATCACAAAAAAAATCACTTGTGTACTGAAAATAAAACAACAAAATGAATAATAAATAGTAAAAGTGTCCATACAAGAGATGAAATTTTGTATTGCAAGTAATACACAAATAAATACAAATTCAGTTTCACGTACCTGCTCCCTTAGAATAGCAGCTTGTTGTCTCTTCATTTCTCTCTCCTAACAAAAACAAATTAATAGTTCAATTAAAATCCTGAAAAGAAAAATCAAAAAGTCGTATGAGGCACAAACTATATGCACCATTTTATAGATTTTTAGATATAAATCCTAGTATTAATATTTCTTATTTTTCCATTTATTTTAACAGATTTCAAGGCCATCTCTACAGGAAATAAAATTTCTAAACAATGGGTTATACTTTTTTTTTTCTAATTATAATAAATAATTAAAAACGTTTTATATCTACACAATAAAAACTTTATTGATGCCGTACGGCTTCCACTTTAAAATATCTCTCTACAAGTACGTTTCGACGTGATCTACGTCAAAACATGTAATGTAATTCGATAGCATAACATGAGCTCCACATTCCCCAAGTGATTTACAACTTATAATGGCACAAATAGTAGTTAGACACGGTTCAAAAGACAATTAACGGGCAATAAAACAATAAAATTTAAGTATAAATAAATGTATATTGTTACGAGTTTAAAGCTACTTAGGATAAAAAAAAATGTAGTTTCATGTTATAATCTGAAGTCATTCTAGAAAGAAAAAAGGGTAATTTAGATTTATTTCAATTTATTTTGTGCTTACGAGGTCAAATTGATCAACCTTGTATAGAGTTAGGGTAGGGAAAATAACAGATAAAATATAAAGTTTTACTAAAAACAAATATTTGAAATGTATTCAGGAGGTTTTAGAGATTATTCAAATGAAATTTGAGATTTTTGAGACGAAGAAAATTATTTTTAAACTGAACATGAAAATCACTTGCACCCAGACTAATAAAAAAAAAGACTCGATATATTCACAGACAACTCTTTTTTTTTTTAGTTTATTAAAAATACTTCACCAAAAAATCTGATTTTTTTGTATGTGAAAGACTTGCAATGTTTACCGAAAATCTACAAAAATTTGTGAGGATACACATACTATATCAAAAGTTAGCAGTATCCAGACTATAAACAAGTACACATTGGTCGTTAAATTTGACTGAGCCCGTGTGGAGAGTTATATCAACATCTTTTCAAAAAGTATTAGAAAAATCCTATAAATTAATAAATTGATTCAAGCATTTTAAAGTTCTCACAACAGCTTTGTAAAATAATTTTTATTGCAACCTAACTTTGGTCTCAAAAGAATGGTTGCCAGATTATAGCTTCAGGTGTATTTGCATAACTTGAAAAATAAATGGCTATTATTCATGTTTCGATCTATCATTTCCAGCTTCTAAGATGAAAGTTTGTAAAGTTTTTCAAAACATAAAATTTTGGGAATTTCAGGAATCAAAAAATGGTAGAAATTAAAACTGCACAAGTTTTTAAGAGTGAAACATGATACTATTTAGTGAGCATTAAATTTCACACAATTTTGGTTAAGTGTTTCTATTGCTAAATGGTAAAAAAATTAAAGAATATTGATGACGCCCCTCCAGTAAAGAAAGGGATAACTGAAAATATGAAATAATCCAGATCAAATATATCAGTCATCATCCACTGATAAAATACATTCTTATGAAGAGGGCATCGATAGACATATTCAAATGTAATTTTGGAATACAGAGTATTGTGTTAATAAATACAATAGGGTGTCTAACAGTTATTTTTTAAAAATTATAGCAAGAGTCCATAGTTTTTACTTAGTACCTCACAAAAAACAGCTTTTAACCCATTGGTCACAACTGACATATCCGTCATCACCTGTCAAAGGGTTAAAGTTTGCAAACTCTGATGGAAACACCTTAAAACTGTAAATTATGTGGTTATAAAATGTATTGATTTGAAGAACAAGCTTTCAAAATAGGCTACATTTAAAGGACCATTTTCTATAAATCTAAGTATAGTAGTTATAACTAGACATTTAATATAAACGTTTATTAGTAATTTTGAGTCATTTTACCTCCATAATTTGTCTGTTTCGCATTTCCCTCACCAGGTGTAATTGCTTTAATCTTTCTAATTTCTCTTGTTCTTTTACGAATTTTTCATGTTCTTTCTGACGATGTAATTCTTCAGCTACAAAAAGATTGAAATGAATAAAAATATCAGAATCTAATTAATATTAAATTATGACAATATTATGAAATTCATATAAGTGTTATCTACCAACTGGTCTTCATTAAGTTGATTTAGTACCCATATTCAGTTCACCTTTTAATATTCAAAAATTAGGTTTATGTAGGAAGCTAAAAATGGAAGAACAAAAACTGAATAAGTACAATAAAAATTATAAATTCCAATAGAAACAAAAAAAAGTATGAAATGTTAGATGGCTAAAGAGAGATAGAGAAAAAGTGTAAAAACAAGTAAAAATGTAAATTACTCCCCTACCCTCACCCCCAACCTTTGTCTTTTTAAGCATTTAACTTCCTGTTCTTTCTCCAATTTCTTTATCACCTTAACATCTTTCTGTTTTTTAAGCCTATGCTAACAATAAGGACTACAGTTTATTTAATATCATTTTTGGGTATCTGCACTTTTACATTTAATATTCAAATATCTAAAAACTATACCCCCTAAAAAAACAAATTGTGAAATTGCATAAACAAGAATAATTTAGTTGATTTTCTGTTTAAAAAAGCAAACAAAATAGTTTCTAAGAGGTATTAGATAAATCACAATGACTTCAAGAACATAACAGTATTTTGAATTCATATTCAAATATCTAAAAACTATACCCCCTAAAAAAAACAACAAATTGTGAAATTGCATAAACAAGAATAATTTAGTTGATTTTCTGTTTAAAAAAGCAAACAAAATAGTTTCTAAGAGGTATTAGATAAATCACAATGACTTCAAGAACATAACAGTATTTTGAATTTATATGAAAATGATTTAAAAAAAATTGGTACACAGATACTAGCCACATACAAAAACATTCCTGAAAAATTATGAAACTAGAAGTAATCTTACTCATTTTGATGTAAAATTGTTACTTTAACTCTTTTAGTCCAATATTTTACTTTTTTTTTTTTTAAAAGGACAAATAACACCATTATGTTTGTAAAGAAATGAGAGCAATCTCTACCATCAATTTATGACTGAAATGTTCAGATTTTCTTGAGGTATATTTTATAAACATTTGTTCTGGAAAAAATAAAAAAAATAAATAATGCTAACCTGAATTTTCGATACCATCCCCTAAATTAGTTTACATTTTAGTAGTAGAAATGTTTAAACCACCTACTTGTGTAGACAAAACTTGCCAAATTACAAAATAAAGCTACAATTCTATGGCTTTGTATATGTCTGCCGTTTATTTCTATCTCAGTTCGAAAACAGTGAATCTTTGAAATCAGCAGTGTTAACAAATATAAAATTAAAGTGACAGCAATTTTGTTTTTCAGTTTTGTTTCCAAGCTTCTAATCCTAATAAACTCGTAAATATATCTTCTAAAAGCTGTAATTATTCAATTTCTCATAAAATATTTGTCACAGAGCTTCCTTTCTTTCTTATATAGATTGTAAGTTTCTAAACATATAATTCTTACATAAGAAGTCTTTCTTGATCACATGCTTTCGAATAATCTACATCATAATGTTTATATTTTTTATGTATATTACGTTAAGGAAGTCACTCAAGTACCGTATTTTTCTATGTATAATACGCACTTTTTTACCCCAAAATTTGATGTCAAAATCTGCTTGCGTCCTATACGCCGAAGGTATGAATAACACATATGTATATATACGATATACACAAGCCATGTGTAGAAATATTTAAATAGGCATGCATAGGTTAGTTCAATTGAATGTGTTATTTATATCAATGGTGGTTTT